TTTCGGTAATCCACACAGAAGCGCAGGCTGCCGTCCATTTTCTTAACGAGGACTTCAGGGGACGCCCAGGGGCTCTGTGAATGCTGAATGACGTCATCTGCAAGCATTCTGTCTACCTGCTGTTGTATCGCTTCACGTTCTTTTGGAGCCACGCGATAAGTGTTCTGGTGTATAGGTCTCGCCGTTTCGTCGGTAATTATTCGATGCCTGGTTAGAGTCGTGCGGCCAACTTTTAATGTTGTCGAAAAACAGTCTTGAAATTTGGCCAGTAGCTCAAGGAGTCTGCGTCGGTCGTCTTTCGGCAAAGTAGAGCTAACGTCCAGAACAGGCGCATAATCAAGATTTGGCGACTCATTGACTACCGCCAGACAGCCTTCGGCATCTACGACATCGTTGAAGTAAGCGACAGCCGTGCCTTCAGGAAGGTGCCGGCGCTCAGCACTGAAATTGATCAGCAGCAAGTCTGTGCGTCCAGCAGGAACTCTGACGATACCTCGTGCGACGGAAATACCGTGGGTGAGGAGCAGCGAGCTTATTTGGTCTGCAACTCCTTCGGCGTCAAACTGAGCAGCGGCGGCCACCGAAACAAGCGTGCATGACCTAGGAGGGAGAACCACGTCGTCATCAGTAACACGGAGTTGGTTTGGCCACGCCTCTGGAGAATTGGGTAAGCCCGAACTGTTGCAAAACGTAATCAAGCTCTCTGGTATGTTGATGATGGTGCCATATGCCCGTAAAAAATCTATGCCGAGAATTGCATCTCTGCAGCATGCGGCGATAACGACGAACGACGCAATGAAAGGAGAACCTCTGATGCCAATTCTTGCAGTACATCTTCCAGAGGGCATCAGTAACTGGCCCCTGCCGTTTTTATGGGAGTCCACGGCGTCTTCACTTTTCTGACGCTGACGGCGAGGTCCTGACTGATAATAGAGAAGTCGGCACCAGTGTCGACTAAAGCTGTCACTTTCTGACCGTCAAGAAGAACACTAAAGTCGGCAGTCACAATTTCATCGTTTTCACGGCTTATCGGCTGTACGACGTCATGCTGTGGGGGCTTCTTGTCGTCATTGTTATGGCCTGCAACCTTGCACCCGGAGGTCACCGCCCTCAGTTTCCCTGTCGCGGGCTAGGTAACCTTCTTGTATTAAGGTACGCGTATGTGCGGCGGTGCGACAAAGGCGAACGCGCGGGGGACGGAGAGCGGGATCGACGTCTCAGACTAGTAGGGTGAGTAGGCATTGCCTCCTCTGCAGTGGTACAGCCATCCTCAAAGTGAGAACGGGCTCCGTAGAAAGGGGTGTCGTCACGGCAGGGTGTGTATTCTTCGTTGGCACGTCGACCATCAAACCAAAACCGACAAGGACGGAATGAATCACCTCGATGCCAGCAATGACGGGCAATATGACCTGCACCTCCGCAGTGAAAGCATAGTGGACGTCTGTCCACTGTGCGCCATGCATCGGTTTTCCGGGTCAGTGGACGTCTGAGCATCCCCCCTGGCGGCGCTGCCTATGGGGTGGCTGTGGACGGCTGGTTGTATCGCTGTAACGTGGGTGGTTGATGCAGTGTCTGCTCTTGCGGTGGAGACCAAGGGACCATGGGCACTGGGTGGTACTGCGTTGGCATAGCGGGTGGTGGACGTCGAAGAGTGGCAGCGTAGCTCATAGGACGCTGCTGAGTATCAGGAGCAGTCGTAGACAACGCTTCATGAATTTCTTCGCGTACGACTTCAGCGATCGACGCGATGGGATTTTCAGCAACCGGAGTCCGCAAACTCTGCAGTTCTTCGCAATCTATCTCTCTAATCAACTCACGTAAGGAGGTCTGATTCTCAGACGTCATGGCATTAGCGTTGATTGGAACATTGCAGGACATGTGGTCATATTGCCTGCAGCGTTGATGAAGGGCCCGCTCGATAGCCATATCATCCTTAATGAAGTCAACCACGGTACTTGGAGAGTTGGGCAGTAGCCCAGCGTAAAGCTGTTCCTTGACACCGCGCATGAGGTAACTCAAATTTTATCTTCCTTCATGTGCGGGTTGGCTCGATGAAAGAGACGAGTCAAGTCCTTGGCAAACATTGCAACGGTTTCGTTGGGTTTTGGAACCCGTATCTCCAATAACTGCTGCGCACGGTCTCTTCTATCAACATTGGCGAAGGTATTGACGAACTTCTGTCGAAAGTCAGGCCAAGCTGACAAATTGCCTTCTCTATTTTCATACCAAGTACGAGAACCGTAGTCAAGGTAGAAATAGACGCGAGAAAGCTTTTCCTGTTCCGACCACTGATTGACCTTGGCAACACGCTCGTAGTTGTCAAGCCAGTCGTGAACGTCTTCATGGGCACTGCCACTAAAGCGATCGGGAACGAGGGGTTGAAATATGCTCAGCTGAGATGGGGGCGTCGGAAAGCTGCCTTGGGGCACCTATTGTGGGCTTGCGTTGGCCATTGGTTGAGGTGTACGGTGCCTAGGAGGTTCCGGCGAGTAAGTAAGCTCTGGCGCGAGGCCTCGCAACCCTCGACTGGAGCGATGCACCGGAGTTGCTACCGGTGACAATGATTCTGGACTCGATGAACAGCTCCCAGCGGGCGTGTGGAGCATCAGACAGGGTTGCGGCCCAGCACCTCCACCAGTGTCGCGGTACAACGCGAATAAAACACAGGTACAGCTTGAGGCAACGAAACCAGCGTGTTTTCAACAGCTGAGCCACAAGACCGTCTTCTTTGGTCTTGAGTGAAGCTAGAGGCCCACTACCTCGTGTCCACTAAATCCCTTCATCATTTTTTTCGTCCACATGTAGACACGCGTCAATATCACGCTCTTCCTCTCCGTCTTCTTGGCTGCTGGACTAACTGTTGGTTTATTGGCCACCTCTACTTCAGTATAACCCAAATGTATGCGACGGTACGATGTAACAGGGGCGCTCACGTTCAAGACCGATGTCAATTTTATCCAAATGAAATACACAATAGTGTGCCGTGATGTCGACAACACAATAAACGCTTTCCATCGTATGCTTCTGCGTGAGGCAATGATTAAGGCGTCAGAGTAAGTATATATTCTTATAGAAACTTTTAGAAAAGCTTATAGTGAACACTGTAACATCTGCAAACGTTGCCGCGATATTATGAAGTCTTTTTCATATGCACGTTGAAGCACTGATGGAGCTCTGTGGTAGATGCTTAACTATCAGGCAGAGTGCTTTGACTAGATTCTGGCTCTCACCACAATTTACCATCTTTATTTACCTACAAGTATTTCATGACTGACAATGCTACCGATGCCTGCTCCACATTTGGTACAAGCTCTATAAAGCCATCATGTATATATTTTCGAACGTCTCTTGTCACTGTTTTTCGTTTTACAGAAGTGATTCCCCGTTATTCACAAGTGCATCGCACCCAAATTCTTTGCGCCATGGTATGCGGGTAAGTGCCACAAGGAATAAAAGGATAACCTTTAAATACGTACACGGCAAATTTATCAGGCTATTTATTTGATGACTTGTCCGTCGTGTTGCCATACACTTATACCCTTTCATGAAAATTGCGGTATTTATAGAGTTAACGTACATGACCACTAGAGCGCCCCGCCGCAGTGGTCTAGTGGCTAAGGTACTCGGCTGCTGACCCGCAGGTCGCGGGTTCGATTCCCGGCTGCGGCGGCTGCATTTCCGATGGACGCGGAAATGTTGTAGGCCCGTGTACTCAGATTTGGGTGCACGTTAAAGAACCCCAGGTGGTCAAAATTTCCGGAGCCCTCCACTATGGCGTCTCTCATAATCAAATAGTGGTTTTGGGACGTTAAACCCCACAAATCAATCATCAATCGAATGACCACTAGAGCACCCAGAAATAGATAGATAGATAGATAGATAGATAGATAGATAGATAGATAGATAGATAAGCCTACAGCTCACTAAGAAGTGCTTCATATATAGTACAACCAACTTGAGTTGAAACATGCTGGAATAATTTGCGAAAACTGGCATTGAAAAACATGCTTTGTTTATTAGAAATCTCCTTTCCTTTACAATTACCTTAACTCAGTTCATTTCTCATCTAAAAAGTGCCATAACTTTCCAGTGACAGCCATACCCCCCTCCCTGGAAAAAAATGCTTTAAAGCTGAAATGATTTTTGAACAATGAATGCAATACAAACAACCAGAGTTCACCTAAACTTCACAGTCAAGCCAGCAATACCCAGTGTCCTAGGGAACAACACCTAAACTAACTGAAATCGGTCTCAACGTATTAAACTAACGTTTCATATGATGATTAACGACAGAAATGTGGTTGATCTAGATTGTTCACTTCAGGACAACCTCATTTGTGCTGGACAGGAAGTTCTGTTCTACAAATTATATTGCTTCATTGTTGTAGTGACACGATATAGAGAGTTGAACCTATTGAATGACGCATGAACGAACAGCTTTCTGTCTTCATTTCCTGTTTTCACTTCGCTACGTTTTCTGGTGTTTTAAAATGTTTTAAAATTAAGTACAGGGGACTAGTTGAGGATCTGAATTTTAACTTCTGCATTACCGGCGTAGTTGATAATGAACTGTCATGTTCTTGACACGCCTTGCGACACAAAGGGGATCACGCCTACATCCACTTAGACAACTTTCCAGTTTTGAAGTTTAATTAAGACATTTTGGGTATATTGAATATCCGCCGGAGGGTTTTAGTTTATCGCCAGGCGTGGCTCGTATGATTGAACTTACCCCTTAGATTGCAAGTACGACTCTTTACAGCCAAAATGAAAAACGTCACAGGCCCATCACTTTTGGCCCAATTGACGTCGTATTTTTGCCGCGACAGTACTGTTTATAGCTGTTAGAGAAACTATAATTAGTAGTGGCTGACAATATGGTCTTCAGAAAAAGGTTCCTTGCTGATAATATTTACTATTTCAAATATTATTTCGCAGATCCCTCTCCCAACCTATCTAAATATGTCATATCCAATACTTGAAACTACTTCTATAGAACTATAAAAGAGCTGAGTGGACCGGCGACTTTAGTACCATCGCCGGCTCTACCAGTTCGCACTGCTGTTTCGTCAAATACTTCAGCGGTAAGATGACCTATTTTGAGCAGCACCATTGATATTCATTGTATACTTGCACTCTAGCCTCAATGTGCTTCAATCTGCACAACATCTGTTTCACTACACAGAGTCGAAAAGTAATTTGAGAATACCAGTATATCTTTTACATATTTGAGAGGCCTGCTACGACTTGTCTGGACAAATGGTGTACTTCATTTATTCGAAAATTATCAGGACTTATATTCTCTAACATGTGTATCTTTTTTAAAGACGATAGTCTTTCTTGGGGACCTTCGACGCAAAAATTTTGATCTGTCTGTCTGTCTGTCTGTCTGTCTGTCTGTCTGTCTGTCTGTCTGCCTGCCTGCCTGCCTGCCTGCCTGCCTGCCTGCCTGTCTGTCTGTCTGTCCACCCTTAACAGTATCGGGCACTTAAAGCGGCACCGGCGAATACTCCAAACGACCGACCCAACCCACATCGTCCACCAATGTTGCTCAAGATTCAGCGTTCATACGTGTGCGATTGTCCAATTAAAAGCAATTATCGCGCATAACTGTGGCACCATAACAACACGTATGTATCCTGTATGTGCGTCTTTTACTACAAAAGACATACTTAAGTTATTGTAAGGACCATAGTGTTTGTCACGCGGCGCTGACTATGCAACGCTTGCCCGAAAAAAAAGTGTTTCCAACGCATATCTATGACGACACGGTGGTGACACCTACCCGTCGCCTTGCGTTCTACACCTTTTCACCTCTGAGACCAGCACGCAAACGCGTCTCAGAGCCGCGCGTTTCGTTTTCCTAGATAACTACCAGATAGCGCTCATGTCTTGCGTGTGATGTAACTTGGTGCGCTTGTTCACCTGCACTGCACGCTAGAGGCACTCTAACGCAGTGCCTCTAGAATACCATTCACAAATTTTCTTGCGCAGAACATCTAATAAACATTTTGTTCAATCTCTCCAGACGCAAGACTATCGTCTTTCGACGACATTTTCAGATTAATATGCATATACGGGGCCAATGTTTTGTCACATCATAGCTTTCTATTCAAACTTCTTGAAGTCAAGTGTATAGAATGGCAAATATTTCGCATAATCTGCAGTCTGCTGGCAGCAAAACTACCTCACCCAATTATATATATATGTCTGTAATTGGACGCGTTTTGAAACAAGAAAATTTCACGTAGACACCGACGGTGTCATCACGAGAGATGCCAAAAACTATCATCGTGCTATCACGTGATGGCCAATATGGAACTAAGCTGGCATGACATGAACACTATATGACAAGATGAATACGGAAGCCCTGCATATTCATCATGTATGCAATACAAAACGAGCGGTCGTGTGCAGGATCGAGCTGTACAGTCGTCGATAAAACTCTAGCTGCCACGTGCTGAGAAAAGTTCAGATGCTCTTAATATTGGCACTGCCAGGAATATTTTCTGTTCTTAGTGTGAATTGGAGACGCATATTTGATCGATTTCGTAAGCGTCAATCACTGCTGAGTTGCTCACAGTACAGAGCTGTCGAATAGCAACTGGCGAGATACAAAACCGTCATCTTGAAGAGAAGAGCCCCTGTCACATAAAATATAATCGACACCCCATCAGAAGGACATCAGCTACAAGTCATCGTCAGCCACATAATAAAAATTGTCTGCAGCAGTGTCGGTGCTCATCGTGTATGCCTGTAGTAGGCACTTCGTACAACTGCAAAAGAAGTAAGTGCTTAGTATCGTATACTACGGTCAATGTCACTTGAATCAATTTTTCGCCTGTCTGAGAATGGCATGGTGTCTCTACTTAGAGAGAGAAAGTGCATCTTTCTTAAATATAGTGCAGTGCAGCAGCAGAGGTAGACCCGTGCCACCCAACCATTTCTGAGTATGTTAGGTGAATCAGAAGACAGTGTGAATGGAACTTGAGGTGCTACTCTGTCTCACTTCTAAAAATCAAGTGTGAGCACACTGCAAGCTCTAGAATATAAGATGCAAGGATTTTCTCATATGTACGTAGACAAACTGACATGAGATGCAACATCTTCTAGCCCGCCTATATGACTGAATACCGTAAATTCACATGGTCTTGAGCTAGGTGGGCCAAAAAAGCAATCGGAGTATCCTATAAGAAAAGGCTACCAATATTCACCATCTACGGTATAGAGCTTAGTGTGCTATAACACACTTTGCTTTATTACCTGAAAGAAGATACTTAAAGGTCGTAGAATACTTTACGTGTGTTATCTGAATCTGGCTAAGAAATTCAGAAAGTTCTCTGCGATGGTGCAATGTTCCCAGCTTTATCAGGGGCAGACAGCAGACGTGGAGGGCAATAACGCATTCAAGTCTATGTGTATACATTTGCATATTACCCCAGAGGAAATGGGACCATACTTTTGTTCTAAACAAACGTTGTTCTTCAGAAAATGTCCGACCCATTGCAAAAGCGCTGGAAGGGTTTAACGGTCGCCTAAAGAAATAAGGCAAATAGAACTGACGCTTAGGAGTTTCGAGATAATTTTCACGTGCTAACTGTTCTTTGATAAATTACCTCTATTTATTTTATATATTCTTCACATGAAACCTACTTGAATAATGCATTGAATTTACAGCAATATTTATACGTCTTTCTCTCTATCCGCCATCAGTAGCGTATTGAGTAAATTAGTAATTGGATAACTTGCAATTGAGTAAAGTAGTAAATTTTCGTGCAACAAACCAGCATGGACTTTCGACCATTTGTAGATGGTTTATGCTTTCTCAGATTAGACGTCAGAATACGAAGTCCCACTTGATTTCTGAGGACACTATTCACGCTAGTGCAGCAGTAGGCGACAGACACCTCACAGGTTTATGACGAGCGGTTCACGGTTCACACCACGCTTGATATGTGCGATAACTCGTTTGAGCCATCATGTTCTGAACGTCTTTCTTAAAAATCCACACTGGCCGGACCAGGTGTACTACAAACATAAAATAAGAAGATTAATGAATGAATAAATAACCATGTCTTGATACTCTAGCGGCTTCTCACGATCAGACCCAATCCTTTTTTTTACAATTAGCTGTTCATTGCATGTTGCAATTTAAACTATCTTGGAACTTGAAGAATGAGTTTGATTTATACCAGCAATGCGGCACATGGGCACGTGTGATCGCTTGACGCATCAAATTTCTGTAATGGGATATTCCTTAACAAACGTGACACTAAAGCGCTGTATCACATCCACTGTTCTTATTTCAACCCGTTCACTGCAATAAATTAATACGGAGTCAGTCGCCAATTGATCTCTACAATCCTCTAACGACATTTTCGTAGCACCACCGCATTTATCAAATAATTTCTTCCTATTGTCATGAAGGAATAGAATGGCTTACCGGAAGCTATACCATCTCGGTGTGTGACTCGTGCCTATTCATGCAGCTACTAACACCTTTTACACTTAAAAACGCTATAACGCTCCACCTATGTTGCTGTGTTTCATTTGTACGAGTCAACTTTAGTGCGTACATTTCTGATGCCACGCTGTTGTTCCCTCCATACTTTTATGACTCTATTTGTTTCTTTGTTGTTGTTGTTTTTCATCAAGTATATGTATTACTGCTTGTCCGCACCACGCCTTTTGCAACACTCCGATAAATCCTGTTACAATAAAGAAGCCAATGCTCCGTCGCGGTGGTCTAGTGATTATGGTGCTCGGCTGGTCATCCGCAGTTCAGGTGATCGAATCCCGGCTGCGACGGCTGCATTTTTGATGGAGGCGGAAATGTTGTAGGCCCGTGGGCTCAGATTTGAGGGCATGATAAAGAAGTCTAGGTGGTCGAAATTTGCGGATCCCTCCACTACGGAGTCTCTCATAATCATATGGTGGTTTTGGGACGTTAAACCCCAGATATCAATCAATTAGTTATCAATGACGAAGCCGTTGTTCGGCAGCCGTTTAATGCATCATATGTCACGAACACTACACACTCACAAGGCATCGCTTGGTCGCTGCGCTTTTAACAAGATGACAGCGCCCACGAACGATGCGCTGGCATTATTACGCACTGAACAGCTAGAGAGCGAATGATCATTACTCGCACATTTCTCTTGATCGCAACAAACTCTGGAGCTTAAAGTACATGACGACTCAGTGGTTGATGATATAAAAGTATCGATAGCAACGTGTATTTGAATTGGAGAATCATCGAATAGGCACAAAATAAATAAGCAAGCGGCATTGATTGATAACTTGATGAGCTTGAAATATGAATAAAAAATAACGTTCGAAAAAAACTGGGGAGGGGTGAAGCACACACGGTATGCAGAAAAGGGTGCGTCTGTGACACTGGCGTGATCGAAAAACTGCAGTGAAATGAAACACGCCTTTAGGCATGGAGGAAGAAGAGAAAGCAGGGAGCATAATGTCACACGAATGAAGCCAACGGTGTCGGCCCAACACGTCATCAGAACGGCACAGCGTGCGGATAGTTTCATTACTATCAGTGGCGTTCCGTTTTTGAACCTCCTGCGTGAGCCAGCTGGTCTGCGACGAACCAGCGAGTTTTGATCAAAAGTTACCGGGCCTCATACTACAAAATAACGGCAACTCTCGTTACTGGCGTGATCTTGTGCAAAAGGTTACGTGTTGGACCAACCACGCTGGCTACAAAACGGCATGGCTTGCCAATCCAGGCTGCGTGACGTCATGCACTCTCCTTTTTTTTTGTTTCTACATGCCTTAAGGCACGTCTTCTTGTGTACACATTCATTTTAACTTCCCACGGCTTGCAGGGAAGGGTGTTTTAGGGTCACTAATGCCATTGGCTATTTAATATTGTCTTCCGCGTTTCAATTTAACTAGTTATAAGTAGTTTAGTTCACCAAAATTTGTTAGGCGTACCTGCGTTTATGATGAAGCATGACTTCTCGACACACCGTGACAAAAGAAGACGGTGAATAGCGAAGCCCCTAGGGTGCGTCGGGGCTGGGCACCCAACGCAGTGTCCTGTAGTTGGGCGGCGCAGTATTCAACAGCACCTTGGAGGTGCTTTTTTGTGTGATTACTCAAGTAATAGAGTACGTTCAAAATGTATTTTTATTTGCGGTGTGCAATACTTTTACGGTCGATCTATTATATCACATTATTCTACAGCACACGGGTACACGGGTATCGGAAAAATCAATGTTATGCTGATAGGGATATTCCATTGCTTTTTTGACATGCTAACTTTGTTGAAAATTAGTTTCTTGTTGCTTGAGTACAAGGACAGCGTGTTAAGGCTTGCCAAACCTAAGTACTTATCAAATATGCGCAGTTTTGCCCATAACACATTTTCTGTTAGATCTTTGCAGTTCAAGACATGGACAGCATCTTTGCCAAGTACTTCCTTGTGGGGCTTGCTGCTGCGCTTGGTAACTTCACAAATTCTATATAAATAAGAACTATGAGCTATATATAGGCATATAGACAAGTGGACATCCCATCGTTCCTCATGATGTGATTTACTGGAAATGTGTACAACAATATGAAAAATTCCGTCTGCCTCAAGTAGTAAATTGCACCCACGATAAAAAATATATTCTATCCAAAAGCTCACACTACGAGGAAAGCTATATTTATACAGCCTCAGTAGGTCAGGAACGAGTGGCAAACTTTTCTCTTGGCTTCTTTGGCTGACTGGATAGGCAGTGCCTACAGCTGTCCGCTGCAGCCACTGTCTGCCTTCACACATGTAGTTGCGCCTGTCTCCACACAGGTACGCAAAGTTTTTTCATCACGAGAGATAAGAAATCAATGGTATAGCAAACAATTGTCATGTCACGTGAAGGACTGCCAGCAGCCGGAAACTCGCGAAGCAGTGCGGCAGGCATTTCAAGAAATTACGCACGATAAGAACCTACACAGCACGGGCGCGAACTAAGAACTGCCACAGTTCGACACTTAAACCACTCTGGTCGTACACAAAAGACGCACCAAACAAACGCACAGGAATATACAGGACGAGCGCGTATTAACAACCGTCATAGTCGTTATTTCTTTGAACGCGTCTAGCATACTCATATTGCAAACATGATAGCCGCAGCTAGCGAAGGCACTTTTGCACTCTCTGTGTAACTTTAACGCGCACTTACCATAAAAGTACTAGTGGCACGAACCGCCCCATCACGAGATAGCGGCTGCGCAGCAGTTATTATCACTTGCACTGCAAGACGTGGCGAGACAATGCACTTTCCGCGCCATGTCGCAAATGCTGCGAAAAACACGCTGAAGTTCCAAGTAGCCTGAATGGTGCCTACAAATAGCAACCCAGCTCTTTAGAGAAATAGAAAAATGAGCTATCCAGTTAGCTGCAATAGACCCATGCGTTTCTGGGCAAATTCTTGCCCCACTTAGGGAAACCTGTATGCATTGTGGTGAGTTTAGCTTCTCAAAATATTTAGTCTTAGTTACAACGCTGTCAAAAGAGAATAGAAACTGTACGAATAAGAAAGGAGTTGGATGTTGTCAAAACTTTCGCACTTGTTATATATATATATATATATATATATATATATATATATATATATATATATATATATATATGTATATATATATATATATATATATATATATATATATATATATATATATATATATATATATATATATATATATATATATATATATATATATATATATATATATATATATATATGTATGTATATATATATATATATTAGGTGCCCAAATCACGTGACTAACAATTACTCCTTTTTTTGCGTTTCAGTTACGCTGATCATTGCACCGAACAATGCCGGTGCCCTTCCTCCTGGAGTAGTCGAAACTGCCGCTAATGCACTTTCACAGGCATTTGGAAGAACCGAGGAAAGTGCGGAAGAATGAAACTTTTATCTGCGTTATGCCTTGCGCTGGTCATACGTTGCATTGTACATTGTATGCAGCTTCTTTGAAATAAATAAAATCAATAAATCAGAGAATCAGCCTCGAATCAATAAATGATGAGAAAACAGTGGAGCGCTGAATTCCCAGTGTAAAAGGGTGTTGCCTCCTCTTCTATTTTATCTTTCGAAGCCGCGCTGTGCCCAGGCAACAAATATAGTTAAATGTTTGCAAAAACAAATGACATGGGTGCGTGCAAGCTTTCGCATTGGTGACCTGAGGACCCCTGCTGATGTTCTAAATCTTTCTCTCGTTGCACTACCTTATCGCTTGAGTGCATTCAACACATTAGAGCAAATAGCTTGAAGCATTCCTTATGCTATATTGAGAACACGGGTTCCCGAACAACAGTTCCGTTCGAACAACAGCAGGACAAACTGCACAAGCGTAAGCAGTGTTGCAACAAATACAGGCTAGGCAGCGACAGTTCGTGCTTCGCGCGAAACTGGTGATATGGCTGCAGCATTTCAATAAAATGTAGAAGAATCAGAGGGGTTCATAGGCGGCACTATGGTTGTTATGAGATGTAATTTGTGGTGTTTCGTTAGCGATATGGCGTGAATAATTTATTTCACTTGTCTGATTGATTTAATTTCCATTTAGGTCATGCCTTCTCCTTTGTGACACCCTATTTCAGCAGCGATGCTATTTGAGCAAGCCGTATGTGGTACGCCGTTTCACAACCCACCTGAAAATGGTTTTCATTCCAGTGTGGATCATGGAACCTGAAAATATGTCGAGGCTCAAAAGTTTTTTATCTAAGAATGGCAAAATACCCATGCTCCATAATTCCGCTGGAATGAGACGCTTTCTCGTTGTAAATTTTTCATTGCAATCCTTTTTTCCAACGGTAAATGAAGGAATTTTCATATTTCAGCTGAATGCTACTGCATGCGCATTAGCATAGTTCCTACGGGAACTGATCGTTCAGTGTACTGCCCACACTCAAAGAGCATGATGATGAAACTCGACAGCTTGTACTTAAAAACTTTTATCGAGTGTTGGAACACGACTTCAGGCGTGAATTTAGTGGGCTCATATTTTTGTACGTTTTTGTATGTATCCACGCTGGCGCACATGCTCTGGCTGTGGCAGGCAATGTACACTAACCCCGACACTACTTCGGTCAGGTGGGAAGTGGTCATGCGCAGCTCCGTCCTGGCCGACCAACTTTGGACCGCCCAGCAGGCCCGCGGAGTGGCCGATAGGCTTGGCCTAACGGTCCCGACGTAGGAGTCGCTCTATGCGCACTCACGCACGCCTTGCAGGACTGCAATAAAGCTTCGCAACCAAACAACCAACCTGCGAACGTCAGTTAACGTTAGAACCAGATGAAACATGAAACACAATTCTAGCGAAAGCTGTAGTTTTACCAAATCACGTGAACAGCATCAATACAGCTTTCGAAAACTGTCCAATACGACTTCGTCATACCTTCAGTGCACAGCTTGCCCCGCCGTGGTGGTCTAGTGGCTAAGGTACTCGGCTGCTGACCCGCAGGGCGCGGGTTCGAATCCCGGCTGCGGCGGCTGCATTTCCGATGGAGGCGGAAACGTTGTAGGCCCGTGTGCTCAGATTTAGGTGCACATTAAAGAACCCCAGGTGGTCTAAATTTCCGGAGCCCTCCACTACGGCGTCTCTCATAATCATATAGTGGTTTTGGGACGTTAAACCACACATATCAATCAAATCAATCAATCAGTGCACAGCAGTGCAAATCAAAGGCACATGCCTTCTGGTAAGATCTGGTGAGCACTGCTGTTTATATACTGGGGGTGTTATGTAACGATTTTATATCAAGATTCAACTACTCCAAGTAAACGTCAAATAAGTCGATATCACACATGTAATTATTGGTAATTGTCTCATAGACGCATCTGCGTCAATAGGCAGCAATCGTTGCATGGCACAGGATTAATGGTGAGAAAGCTTGTTTACACAAACTGGCCTGTAAAACACTTCGTGCGTATATAATCATTGCATACAACCAAGAACCATTATTGATTAACTCACTAACATTGGCGAAAAACGTTTACTAACGCTATAAATACTTAGCAAGTCTAGCAGGTCTGCAGAGAATATCACGCTCCCTGCAATATTGACGAAGGATAGTATGGTGAATGCAGGCCTACTACACAAAAATGTGATTGTTTATGGAGTAGTGATTACCCAGTAGGTGGCAGCCGTTACCCAAAAAAAGGCCATGAAAGGCCCCTCTCAGAACTGACACTCTGACTGTGCTGCGCGTTCTGCGCAGGCCTGGCGTTTTTTTTTTTTTAGTTACTGGGTGCCCGGGTACCACCAGCAAAGCTTTAAAATATAACCTAGGCAAACAAATGACTGCTTATGCCCATATTATTGGAGACACTCAAGCTAAATTGTTATCTTGTTTAATTATTCAAGAGGACCCAACCAGCTTGAAGACACAATGCTGGAGAAAAAAGTATTGAAAAATTCTACAGGTACCGAAGTTATTATATTGTTTCGGTGGCTGTACTCAAGTACCTGGGACGAAGGATAGTATGGTGAATGCAGGCCTACTACACAAAAATGTGATTGTTTATGGAGTAGTGATTACCCAGTAGGTGGCAGCCGTTACCCAAAAAAAGGCCATGAAAGGCCCCTCTCAGAACTGACACTCTGACTGTGCTGCGCGTTCTGCGCAGGCCTGGCGTTTTTTTTTTTTTTAGTTTACTGGGTGCCCTGGTAACACCAGCCAAAGCTTTAAAATATACCTATGCAAACAAATGACTGCTTATGCCCATTTATTGGAGACACTCAAGCTAAATTTTTATCTTGTTTAATTATTCAAGAGTACCCAACCAGCTTTGAAGACACAATGCTGGGAAAAAATTAATTGAAAAATCTACAGGTACCAAGTATTATTGTTTTCGTGCTGACTCAAGTACCTGCAAACTACAGAATGCAGACAGAAACACGTGATATGCCCGCTTGCGCGCTCGCGATTGCAGTGCTCCCTACTAAACAGCATGAAAACGACCATAGCATTTGGCCGGGTATGCTGCCACTGAATAGGTGGGTTTTGGTGCTGCTCTTGGTGGGGTGGTTTGCTGCTTAAATCATGCTACTGGAGGCCTATTAGTCAAACTCTTTTAGTCATTTGCTATCAGTCCTAGCACATCGCTCGCTAGAGCTAATGATGTGCCGCGTTGTCATTCACACATATCAACAACGCAGTCCATCGCGTTGTCAATGTATGTGCAGCATAGGCTTTACAAGCGTCATGTGTACAGATGCATGCAGTGCACAAACAAATTAATGACCGCAAAGCGTTCAATGAAACGAAGCATTATAGGAGTGGCAATAAGAGTTTAAAACATAGACCATACAAAGGTAGCCTATTTTTATCATGTTAGCATAAAACGTATACCGCTCCGCAGGTCATGTAATCAGAACAGACAATTGATAATCAGTTAAAATGCTGGGGCAGAAAGCACTGGCGAAGATGACAAAACGGTAGCTAGAACGAATAAATCGAGAAATTTGAGAGCATAAAATGGAGGCATGCATTTCACGCAGAGCAGAACGTGTTGGGTGTTGCGACCTGGGTTGACACTATCCCACCGCTGCCATTCAGTTGTTGCGACTCCGGGTCCTGCGGGTCTCGGTTTGGTAGCGGGCCCCCGTCCTAGGACCCATCGTCGAACAAGTCAGATGAGGCGCTCGTAAAAACGACAACATTTATTTACATGATTAGTAACTGAGAGTTAGAAAAGAGGTGATCAAGTGATCAAGTAGAAGTCAGGAACTGTACATGAGAACTATTGAACTGTAGAACTTGAAATATACAAAAAGCCTTCGGCTTGTATTGCGCCTCTTTGCCAACCCTGGGCGCATTATCCGCGGCTTCCGCCAATAGGACGCTCCATGGTCTAGGTGCTCAACCCACGATGGTGCTCCACCCATGTTTTCTGCGTTAAAATAACCCATCATTGTATCAGAGAGTAAGTTAGCAAATGTAAATCAGAATTAACCATTAAGCAGAATGACACATGTCTTCTAATCTGTGTATAAATACTGCCCGTCAAACTTCTGTTGAGTATTTGCAAAAAATAATGACAACATTGTTAGAGAACTCTTTGGTTAAAGAACGACTGAATACCGAGCTTTGTTATATATCACTTGGCAAACGTTCGTGACACATATATGTGTTGTGCTGTGTGGGCGGGTAATGCGTCATGGTATTTTTACCATATATTGGGAATTCACTCTGTTAACTACTCACAAAACATCCAACCAAAAAGCGTAGAAGACAGGAAGTGCTACTGGTAAGAGCAGCGTCTCGGACAACAACACGTATGACGTGGATTATTGTAAGAAACAGTGTTTTTTGAACTGTCACCAAATATAAAGGGGGAGAGAGAGAGATAATAATGGAAGGGGAAGAAATAAAAAGGACTTTATCTTCTGCCTTCCATCAAAGGACACAGCTCAGCACCTTCAGACATGAGGAGAGAACGTCAAAATGATAGAAATAAAGATGTGGAAATCGAAGTTTTTTTCCTTCGTGAGGATAGGCTTTGCCTAATTAAGCTGCCGTCAGTGCGTATGCACTGACGTGGTATCACATTGCCTCCGTAAATGACCGAGTAATGATGCTTTACGTTGAAATCATTCGGAAAATGAGTTGGTTACTATGATGACCCATTAAAACTGAGATATTTTCGTTGATCTCGTGTATGCTTAGCGTGTCAGGCTCTCGACTAATTTGTGAGGCAGTCATAAAGCACAGTAGGTCTAAGCGCCAGGCTCTCGACTGTTGAAAGATATGTGGGGTTTAACGTCCCAAAACAACGGTATGATTATGAGAGATGCCGTAGTGGAGGGCTCCGGAAATTTCGACCACTTCGGGTTCTTTAACGTGCATCCAAATCTGAGCACATAGGCCTACAACATTTTCGCCTACATCGGAAATGCAGCTGCCGCAGCCGGGATTAGATCCCGCGACGTGCGGGTCAGCAGCCGAGTACCTTGGCCACTAGACCAATGCTGCGGTGTGGCATTCGACTGTTGTTCT